AATATGCGAAGCATAATACTTTTTGTAATGCCAATAAACCGGGCAGATGGTTGGCCTACACTTTAAGAAAAAAGCAGAGTACACGGACTATTGGTAATATTGATATTGGAGGGAAAGAAATTTTTCAACAAAAATTAATTAAAGAAGCTTTTGTGGACTATTACACTAAACTATATGCTAAAGATGATGTGCAGAATGGATTTATAGAAAAATATTTAGATAATAAAAGAGTCACAAAAATTACAGATCAACAAAAGGAAAGAATGAATTATCCTATAACAGAGGAGGAGATATCGGCAGCAATTAAACAATTAAAAACAGCTAAAGCTCCTGGAACTGATGGCTTGACAGCAGTGTATTATAAAACTTTGCAAACAGAAATGGTGGAACAACTTAGAGATTTGTTTTGTAATATTCAACAAGGGGGTAAAATACCCCCATCATGGACAACAGCATATATTTCTTTGATACCTAAAGAACAAGCAGGTCCTAAAAAACCGGAGAATTATAGACCAATATCTCTTCTTAATACTGATTATAAAATTTATGCAAAAGTACTAGCCAACAGGCTGATGCCAGTAATTCAAAAGGTGATCCATGATGACCAAGCGGGATTTATCGAGGGTAGATACATGAAGGATAATGTAAGGCAAGTAATAGATTTATTGGAATATCTTGAGAGGAATAAACAGGTACCTGCAGTGCTGGTCTTTTTGGATGCGGAAAAGGCCTTTGACAGAGTGGATTGGAATTTTCTATTAAAGACTTTAAAAAAGATGGACTTTGGGGACCAATTTATACAGGCGGTTTCAGCAATTTACCATGTTGCAGATGTGATTGTTTAGATGCTACATATTATCATGTGTGGTGGACTTGTAGGAAAGTTAAGGCTTTTTGGATAAAAATTTGGTGGGTCATGCAGAATGTTTTGAAGAAAAAAATTCAATTTTCTCCACAATTGTTCTTATTGGGTATAGTTAAGGGTTTTACTAAGGGTGAAATAAAGTTGATATTGTACATGATAACAGCTGCGAGATTATTGATAGGTAAATACTGGAAGAATGAAGTTTTGCCCACGATTGAGGAATGGACTTTGAAGATGGCCAGTTTTGCAGAGATGGCGAAGATCTCAGCATTTTTAAAAGACTGCTCACAAGAGACTTATGAATGGGAATGGAAAAAGTGGATAGATTATGTTCAGAATAAATATCAAACTAGAAAGTACCAAATAGCTTTTAATTGAAAATGATATTTTAAGATAGAAATATTTCAGTGTGATGAAGATGAAAAATTTACAAGGAGGAGGGAGGGGTTCAAGTTTTATATAAGTTTTATATTAAGGGTTTTTTTTTTTTACCTGATATAAGTATATTGTGTGGAAGTCCGGGGGGAGGGGAGGGTTAGGGAGGGTTAGGGAGGTTGGGAAGTTCGGGGTGGGTTGAGGGGGGGGGGGAAAGGGGTGAAAATGTAATTGTAAAACTTTTGCAATTAAAAAAAAAGAAATAATATTAGAATTACAGTCAGAAAATCCTGGAATACAAACCAGGACCTATATTATCTACCTTTCATCTTTATAGAATAAAAGATCTGATTGCGTGAACATCTAGTACCAATTCACGCTTCAGTAAGATTAGAGAATTGTTTCCCAAGCTAAATTATTCTTTGCCCAATTGTTTGCCACATTCTGAACATAAGTGATTTCTTACAACAGTTCAATATTATTGTACAGTCTTGCCAAACAGAAGTGGAATCTTATAATGCAACTGCTTGAGGGACTATTGCAGATGCTGTCTGAAAAAAAATGTTATATTTTCTGCTGCATTTTTGTGTGTCTACTATTCTAACCAAAGATGCAATAAAGTCTGCTATTGTTATTCTGTGACTATTACTTAAAATATAATGTGTTTATTAATAGTAAACAATTTACACATTCCTCTACTGAATCTTGTTCCTTTTCTTTACTCCACGTATCAAATTTAAAAAAAAAGTCACTATTAGATGAAGACTTCATAATGTCTGTAATTACAGAATGCAATCTCCATTTTGCATGCTCTTGGGTGTGGTTGAAATGCATGTTGAAACTGCACCTAGGTTTTAGACATACTAGGCAAGTACTGCTTAGATATTTTGGCACACAACTTTTATTTTTATGATTTCAGTTCTGAGCAGAGTTAATTTGTATAGACAATTGGCAAATCCAAAGAGATAGTGGTTTAAAATACTTCATTGTTTTTTTCATTTCCTCACTGACATGAAGCTATCAAATTAACCAATTATTCATTTTCTATTAGAATTCTGTAGTAGAGGTATTAAACTAGTTTTATCATCCATCATTTGAAATTCAGCTAAAAACATATGGACTGGAAAAATCTTAACTTTTAGAGCTCCAAGACAGGCATTACTCTTCAAGCTGATTATTTATTATCACTCTGTCATGTGAGTGATAGTGATTTATTCATTGTGGGAACCCAGACTGTATAACTCAGAAGAAGGAAAGCAATTGCTGGTATTGGTAAGAATATCACTGAAGAAATTCAGCCAGTGAACAAACTTGGGAAAAAGTGAATTTCTGTATCTAGAAATTTTGTTTCATCAACACTGCATATTTTGACCTGAAAAAATAATAATTGATAGTAGCTAGGCGAAGAACTAGGTCCTCAGCTCAGTTAGGCCAAAATACTTGTATTTAAATATTTTGTCCAGATCAGTTACCTTACACAACTGTGTCTGCATCCAAGGAGCTTACTGTGCTTCTAATTGCATAAAGCGGGGGTGGGCAATTAATTTTCTCAAAGGGCCACATTAGAAATTGAGATTGCTTTGGAGGGCTGAACTAATAGGGCTGTGAAGGTATATAGGCACGCATGCATGCACATATGCAAGTTGGAAAAAAAAGAATAGCAGTCACTTTCAAAATAAAAGCAATGCAATTGTATTGCGGGCATGGTGTACACTTATTTACATTTGATTTCAAATAAGATACCAGACTGGAAGGCAAGACACCATGAATTCAAATCCCATCTTGGCCATGAAAGTCAGTTCGGTGATTTAGGCCAGTCACTCTCAGCCTAACTCACTTCACAGAGCTGTTAGTGTGAGGGAAAATAGGAGGAGGAAATATGTTGAATATATTTGCTGCCTTGAGTTATTTATAAAAACAATAAAGGCGGATGGATGGATGGATGGATGGATGGATGGATGGATGGATGGAGAGAGAGAGAGAGAGAGAGAGAGAGAGAGAGAGAGAGAGAGAGAGAGAGAGAGAGAGAGAGATTTGATCACGTGGGCTGGCTGACAGGGACAGTCAAAGATGTGGCTCAGAGACCATAAAATGCCCAGGTCTGACATAAAAGGCTTATAAATGCTTTTGCTTGGATTTTCACTGGAGCTTTAATTAAGCTTTTATCTTAGTTTATACATTTGAGTGCAGTTAAGGAGTTGAGGCTCTTTGCCCAGCCTCAAATGTGGTTAACCTTGGACTATTCCTTTTCATTTTGTCTTATCTATCCCAGAATAAGTCTTAAATGCTTTGCTGCTTGAAGCTAAATAGAAAATTGCAATGTTCTCCTGTTCTTTGCTTTTTTATAATTATTTATAAATGCTTTAGGTTTTTACCCTGTACCCACTTACCTGATAATAAGACCCCTTGATTGTAGTTCTTACTTTTACACAGGCTTTCCTATTATTACACTGTTTGATTAGGTGTTTTATCTCTAGAGAAATCAATCATTCTTTGCTACTTGCACTTACTCATCATTATTGCAGGCCTACATCCAAATATTAAAACTTTAAACAGCAGTGACATTAAATTTTTGCAAATTACCTGGCATTGTGTATCTGTTCTGCTGAAGGGCATATGCGAGTTACATAGTATCATCCTACGTTATCTGTGGGTTTGTTTATTTAACCACAGGTTGCTAGTCTAACAATCAATAAAAATGATAAATTGCCTTTGTACTATTTCTATTACAATAACTGGAAGCAGTCGGCCCCACAAGCACTAAAAGCATAAATCATAATATGTATGAAGTTGACAGTTTTAATTGCTTAGCACTGGCATGCTTTAGTCAAGTGGGGGCATCATTGGCCTTTGAAAGATAGTCTGGATAGACCTATTTCTTTCTAAAGTATGTCATTGAGAACTATCAAATAACATTTCTTTTTAACCTCTCAATTTGACAGTCTCTGCACATTTGGCATTCTGGATGCATGCTTATTGGAATTTTTTTCAAAGCCAAATAATCACATTAATGTCCATGAATGACCATCATCCTTTTTTGTTTGTTTGTTTGTTTGTTTCGTCTTCTTCTTCTTTACACTAATGCTTGAAAGTTTTGGATGCATTCCAGATGAGCAGCTCTCACCAGTTAAGCACACGTAAGAAATAGTTTTTAAGTATGAAAGAAATGGCTGTGAGGCAAGAGTAATTTTTAACTTTTATTTTTAAAAAAGCTGAAAGAATAGGTGCTGATGTTTCAAAAGGACCCCATTTTCCATCATTTCATGTTGGGCCTTCATTTGATTTTTATAGTATTGTCCATATTTTGACTTTGATTTATGTATGTATGTCACCGTGTGTGCAGGTACATGCCTGTGAAATAAATTACGATCAGCTTTGACCTCAGGGATGCTTTTACATGACTTGATTTTGAATAATCTCAATACGGGTGTGTAACATAACTAGACTACACAATTATGTGCCTTAAGACTTTAAGCAATTTAGGCTAGTAGTTTCATCAATGCAATTGGCCAGTTCTCATGTAACATTGGAATCCTGTGTAACACATCTTTCAGTGACAAGAGCCAAAGGCTAAGTCTCTAGATAATGACTTGAATTTCTGTCTTTTTCCAAGTTACCCTGATTGTAAACTGACAGCTTTGAAGGACCTTAACTGACATCAAAGGATGCAAATCATCCAGTTAGATCAATTAATGTTAATTCTCATCTCCCGTTTAATTCTTTAATGCGTTTCCATTTTCTCTGATTTTTTTTTTTCCAGCCAAGCCCATTACCAAGTCCTGTTTTGGGGAGAAAGCCAAATGCTAGTCAGTCATTGCTTGCTTGGTGTAAAGAAGTTACAAAAAACTACCGAGGAGTAAAAATCACCAATTTCACTACATCTTGGAGAAATGGTTTATCCTTTTGTGCAATATTACATCACTTTAGACCTGACTTAATGTAAGTAGGAACATTTTACATTTAAACTGTCCCATTTCTTACTTTTGTTCATTTTCGGTTTCAAAAGTGCCATCTTGCGGAGTGGGCCAGAAATGGGTAAATCACTTTATATCATGCCATTTCTGAGGCTTTGTTCTAAACCCATACCAATTTCTCATTTTTGTATGCATTCTATTATTCTTTTTAATCCACAGGAAAGCAACTGACTTCAAGATCTTTATAAAAATTAGGTTACTGTTAAAACGAGATGAGACAATAAGCCTGTAGTTCTCATGTGCCATCCAAAGATGACCTGATGGCAAATGTGGTTATCATAGCCAGCCTGAAATCCCTACCTTAATTTCTCTTTTTACATGGAAAACTTCAGGCAATGAAACAGACAATCTTTATATTTATTTATATTTATGTATTTATTCTTTTAATTTTCTACACTATTAGTTTTCCTGATCGCTGTGAAATTGCTAGTTACTATACATTGGTGTTTTATGTTAAATTGTAATTGGCTATAAATTGTGGTTTGTTTTAAAAATGGGTGCTTTTTTTCTATAAAAGTATTTTACATACCCACTGTGCTATTTTCCCCCTCAGTGATTACAAGTCCCTGAATCCTCAAGACATTAAGGAGAACAACAAAAAGGTAAGCATTGACAGAGGGAAAGGGATAACAGATAGGGCTTCAATCCCGGCAGATTTTTATTAATTTTGGAGTGACTTTGTTTTAAAAGGCCATAATTAGACCTCCTAGACTGTACTTCTTGAACACATTATTAACTCTAGTTTGTCATGATTTGTATCGTTCATGACAAATGCTGGTTGGAATTTGAGGACCATCTTTGTAGTCCCTAATTAATAGAGGGAGCAAAGGAGAGAAAGTACGAGAGAGCAGTAGATATTTTTATCATCCTATTTTCTTCAATAATTTAATTATAAATAAAAATATAATTGTTCAGTCATTATCTTGACTCAAGGCTTTCTTGGCCTTTGCTTTAATATGAAAGACTTCACTGGTATGGTTATAATAAGCTCTGTTTTGACTTTAGCTTTTATTTAAGAAAGAAGGAGAAGTAGAGATAAAACTTCACATGGGCTTTTATCCACCGCAGTCAATTAAACTAAGCAGTAAGGTGCATTGCATTTTTATAATATGCAGAATTTTGTTTTATTGTTGGAAACATGATTTTTGTAAGGCAAAAACATTAATGAAATATTGTCTGATAGTATTCTGGGTCCAGGTTTATAATCCTCAATAATATTAGGTAATTTAATACCCTTTTGATACAAAGGAAATGAGTTCAGTGGCTTGAGACTCAATCTAAGAATCACAGGAAGACAGGTTGGTACTTAATGCTGCTTTTACTACTCAAGACTCATTGTAGAAATTTCATATTTTAATTTCCATAAGATTCCAGAGCATTGGCCTAGAGGGAATCATTTAAAAATTGCTCATTTTCCACTTGATTAGACTACAACAAAACTAACAGCAAATCAATTTGGTTTGTTTTATTCACTGAATTTTTATTAGATAGTGTGATTTTCTACTTTTTTAACTGATCATTTTTTAAAGATTTAACACACAACATTCAAGTTTCAGAAGGAAAACTAGCTCTTTCACTTCCCTCTTCCTCCTACAGAGAGCAAATGAGAAATTGTTTGAGAGAGAAATTCCATATATAGATTTCATTTGGAAACACATGTGACGAATAAAGTATTCCTTACACTACCCTATGTATGGATTGCATATGTGTCTTCTCCAATATAAAAATTATTTTCCTGAAAATAAGTCATTAACTGCAGTTGCAATAACATATATGCCATCTTTAAAAAAAATGTAATGAAAGTTGAACTAGAATGGGATGCTTTTGTATCATTTTCAAAATTATATTTAAAGTATCTACCGTAGTAGTTTGCTTTTGAACAAATACTTTGAAATCAACAGTTCAATTTAGTCATTTTCATTTATAAAAATTGTGACTAGAAAAAAGTGAAATTAATACTGAAATCCTTAGTCAACTTCTCAGACGTACCATTGCCCTTTATTAAAGAAGCAATTGTTTTTGCTATGTAGTGTGCATCTGTTCATATATATTTTCTTTCATCACTTTGCGACCCTTTGCTTGACAGTTCTACAGAGTGAGCTTCCTGCAGATTTATTTCCTGGTCTCACACAGTTCTGTCCGATAACCTGTGTGTCCTTGATTGGAATGAACACTACCCTGGGAAAAGTAGCCAATAATATATAGAATTTATATTATGATTGTATTATCTATTATGAATAGATAACACCTAACCAATTAAAATAATAAGAGCTATGCTTATTTAAAAATTCCTACATGTTTTGTCCCATAAATTGACATAAGAAAAAATAAGTAATTTGGTGGGTTTGGACTTCAACTGCAAGCATTAAGTTCGGCAAAATGACTTCAACTTCAACAACAAAACAACATTGGAAGAGACCTTGTTTTTAATTATATTTTTTCTGAATGAGATAACTTTTGAGAATAGTCATTTTCAGTGTAACTGTTATTGAATCTCATAGAATCAATTTCTGAATAAATATGCCTAGGCTTATCTGTAAAAACATTATTATAAAGAGGAGGCAAAAAACGTATTTATTGTTATGTCAGACTTTGACCAGCATGTCGGTATGTCAACTTGTTTAGACAGATTATTAGAATACTTCTTCTGGTATTTTCATTGATTTCACCTGATATCTGTCATTTATCTGTCATCTAATGCCTGTCAATAGCAATTAGCATACACCATTTATTTGCTTGTCTTCAGAATGTATCTGGCATTTTCTTCAAGATCTCATAGCAGCAAAAACTATTTAATGAATAACTAGAAACTATATTTGCTAAGCCAAAACAAACAAACAAATACAGATACCACCCTCATTTTATTTTTCATCACACGAGGGTGTTTTTTAAAATCAGAACATTTGGAATCTGGAATTTCAACCTAAGTAGGATTTAAATTTTTGCTTCAAATTCAGGTTTTCTAGCCTATGTTTCTCAGAAATCTGTGGCACCCTGATGATCATCCATATTTCTCCATTCTAGATTTGATAACTATGCCAGTAAAGAATGAAATAGCAGCTGGCTATTTCCGCTGTCTGGCTAATCCAGTTTGAAGCTGTTATAATTTATGTTCAGACTTTTAGAACAATACCCAGTGCAATACAATGCTGCAGTCCAACTTGAAAGGCGTAGAAACATTGTACACTGGGAGCTAGACAGTTCTCTTTTTGCAGGAAAACCACCAATGCAATGTAAAAAACTGGAGCAGATTAATAAAATTATTTTAATTTCCAATCAGATTTAACAGCACAGTAGCCCTTCCAGATTGAGAACCTAGTCATTGCGGAGAGAATATTCAATAATTTTTGTCAGGGTTGCAAAGAATTCTCAGTCATAACTTGCATCATGTTTTAATTATTCAAAACAGTCTGGGTTTTCCCTGTCTCCCTCAGTCAGACTGTGGGTTTTCATATCATTTTCTTGTTCTGTTTTTCTCAGAAGTGACTATAAAGCTGAAGTTATGCCCACAATTCCTTTGGTAAAGCCTTCCTTGAAATACAATACTTTTCCCAGCCTTGCCTTGGATAGTGATAATTACCTGTAAATTGAGAAACAGCTGTGATACGCCAAAACTAGAAAAACTTGATGCAAGTACATTCTTTAATGGAATAGGAGTAGTAGAGTTGGTCTCGTTTTTGCTTAAAGCTCCATAGCAGTTTGATAGACATGAATTAATCGGTGCCTACTCTAAAAAGGAAAAATAGGGAGGAAGGGAGGAAGATGGATGGATGGATGGATGGATGGATGGATGGATGGACAGGCAGTCTTAACACAGCACAGATGAGCTGTTGTTTTCTGTTATCCAATTAACCAATCCAAGCTAAATGACAGCAATTTCATGGCTAATAGAAGGCTGGTCAGCTAGCATAAATCCCACAATGGATTAGTATCAGGTTTCTTTCTATCTTTGTTATCTTAGTTTCTTAGTTTAAAAACCAGTCTGCATTTCCATGGGGTTTTTTTTCCTTTTCTCCAGCTACAGGCTATTTTTTTAAATTGCTGGGGCTTTGTATGACTCTAAATTCTGCTGGATAGAACAACATCTATTTTAAAATTCCCAGTAATAATCATTGCTAGCAAAAGATTACAGCAAGCAGCATCTTCTCATTATTGGACTTTATTTTTTTCCCTATACCTGATTGTATACATTCTGCATTTGCTGCATTGGTCCACATGGGCAAGGGGTTCTGGTCAGCTAAGAAATTCTATTACATTAGTGGGAAAACATCATTGGAACCAATACTTATAGCACTACAAATGAAGTTACATCTATACATTGTAAAAATCTTTTAGTGGATGTGTGCATTAGGATGGATTGTACCATCTTACATTTTTCTGTCAGAAAAGGTTAAATGCTTTGTGTCTACCTCTAAGACATTAACAGTAGAGCTTACTCTTGTTTTCATCTGCACTGCTCATCCTGCATTTTATATCTTGATTACACTATTCTATGCATCTCTCTCTCTCTCTCTCTCTCTCACACACACACACACACACACACACACACACACACAGATTAGAATTTAATTTCTATATACCATTCTTCCATAATAGAAAATATCCAAATTGGCTCACAATGCACATGGTAAATGAGCACTATCAGGATATAGAAATAAAAGAAATTCCAAGAGCAATAATACATTACAAGCATAATATCAGTGTGATATTCTGAAAGACATAAACCAAACAAGTCTGGTTAAAATCAATATTTTAAAGGTTACTGAGCATATAGCCCAAATGGAATGAATATCATCTTTGTTTTGTGATTGCTCCAGGTCACCTCAATTCTTAGCTGAGTTCTCACAGATTGGAGCTTGCAATTTTTTATTTCAGGTGAGAATACAAAGAAGTGTATTATGCTCTACACAAAAAATGCTCCTGCATATTGAACATTTGATGCTATGGAGAATGGTTGTAGCCTGTGCTACATTTTTCATATGAAGACACCTTTTTTTCCCAGGCAATCAATCAATAAATATTTTCCAGCAGTTAAAAATAATAGAATCATTAAATTGATACCATCTCATTGGCTAGCCATATAAGGCAGATTTATAAGAAAGTCAAGTATGTCAAAAAGATGGTAGTTCCTTCAAACCTATATTGAATCATCATGTTTGAGCACTTAGAAAGTAGCCTTGCCTGAAGTTGCCTTAAAGTTCAGGCAATGCTTTTGGGGTCTGCCATTTTGATTCTCCTACAATACATGAAAAGTATTATCAAGATCCCAGAGACATGGCATGAAAATTAAAAATATGGATTGCATTGTTAAGTGTTGGATCCAGATAGCTGTAGGTGGTATTTAGGGTCAATGGCAGGATCAATCAGTGAACCTCCAAAGGGCTTGGGTCATAACTAACAGCTCAAGTGTGCTGATCCCTACTGCTAGACCTGACAGCAACATTAAAGAGAGGAGAAATGTAAATTGAGCTCTTCTGACTGAAAGACTCATTAAAAAAAAGTGCTTCCTATTTTAGTCTGTTTACATGCCTACTTTCAAGTTATTATGTTTTTTAATCAATACTTGTTTTGTTTTCAGGATTGTGCTCTAGCTTAAACAAGCCATTTTACTGACTCATGAGACTTTTAATGGCAGCAGTTTCTTGTCCATATCTTATTTAAAGCCATGGTAAATGGTGAAATCCTAGGAAATCTCTTTCAGACCCTATGCATCTCCTGACAATTATCATACATTCCAGTACATCAACAACACTAACTCTGTTTTTGCTTCTTCTTTTAAGGCATATGATGGACTTGCTAACTTGGGAATATCCCGGCTACTTGAACCTTCTGACATGGTTTTGTTAGCTATTCCTGACAAGCTGACTGTTATGACCTATCTGTATCAAATACGGGCACATTTCAGTGGCCTGGAGCTAAATGTAGTTCAGATTGAAGAAAACAGTAGCAAAAGCACATACAAAGTCGGCAACTATGAAACAGACACAAACAGCTCTGTTGACCAGGAAAAATTCTATGCAGAACTAAGTGACCTAAAACGAGAGCCAGAACTGCAGCAGGCAGACTTTGTTTTCCAGAAAGACCCAGTATTTGTAAATGACAGCAGAGTTCTAGAGTCAGAAGGAGACAGAGAACCTCAAGACACAGCTGAGTCACGAAGTTTGGCCTCTCCTCCTCCTCACAGGACTATAGGTGATGCAGAGCAACCAAAAAAACAGCAGGGAAGGATTTCGAGAATAGCAGAACCTGAAAAAAACAGTACAGCACAAACACAGCCCCTGTTGGGAAGGAAAAAGCTTCTCAAAGCAGACACTCTAGACCTGAGTGATCTCATGCAGATCAGCAATCTAAAAAGGGATCCACTTCCCACAACCGTAGATGAGGATATTGACAAAAAAGGACATCAGAATTGTGACACTGCCATTTGTGTCTCAGAACCTGAAAAACAGAAGCACCTCAGCCTTAGAGATAGTAGAAAATTGGATTCTGAATTACACGTTGAAAAAACAAATTTAGAAGTGGGAAATAAATCTGGATGCTCCAACAATAGGGATGTGGATATTAATAAATTAGATACGCAACTGGAGACTAAGCTAGAGTTTGAGGCCAAAACAGTGATACATCCAACAGATCTGCCTGGAAAAACTGCACAGGTAAGGAATCAGAAACTACTTTCACAATATTATAACTTCTATTGCAATTTCTCCTGCAATCAGTTTCAGTAACATTTTGTTTCATCAAAATTATGCTAGGGGAGGCTAAGGGACCATTTTCAGCAATAGATAAAGATATTACTACAGGAGTGATCTAAATAAGATCTACCAGTGAGATTCCTCTCCTGGGTCAAAAGTCTTCCATGAAAAGAGCAATTTTTCACAGTTGATGAATCTGGATCTCACCTTGAATTGTCTTAGTCCAGTGGGAAGGGAAATACTCATTATGCTACTATAAAAAATCCATTATTGATACTCCTGTCTGCCCTGTTAAATATAAGATTGGTCTGGGGGATTGCTATTTGCCAACTCAAATTCAAATGGGGCTTCAGCAGAGATGTTACTAGGTAAGGCAACAACTGGTTCCTACAATCATACTGACCTAAGCTCTACGGTCTTCTAAGAAAAGGGTTCAGTAAAATGTTATGAAATTTAATCCTGTGAAAACATAAAGAGGGCTGCAACCTGAATGTGGCTCTTCTTCCATTCTCCCAACAAATGGAGACTTCATATTTGGCCCCCAATTCTGATTGCTTCCTACCCAAGAAACTCAACTAAGATTAGTTCTGAAATGAAACTGCCCCAGAGAGCAGAGATATAGGACAAGGGAACAGATGCAGCCTACAGTTCTGTTCTCTTTTGAATGCTAGCCAGAGCCCCATCCCCAACTGGGAAGGAAGCCACCCTCTTATATCTCTTGGGGAGCTCGACATCAAGGTTGGTTGATTTGAGATCGGTCTCCCTTCCTGAAATCTGCTTGTTTTTGACTCTGTTTTTCCCAAGTCTCTTCTATCTGACTGTTGAATTTTGTCAAACTGACTTTTTAAACAACTGGAACAAATTCTCCAAAACTGGCTACATAACAACACTGGTCTGCAGTCATTATAGTTCTGCTCTGCATATCAAGTTGATCTCTCTGTCTCTTCATCCAATTCCAACTCATGTTTCAAATATATGATTGCATGTAAAAAAAAAAAAGATGTTTAGACGAATTAGAATTGCTATAGAATATTGGAGGATGTTTCTTGCTCTCATCCCAAATCTTTAATATGTACATCCAATAGTGTTATATCACATAATGCATGATTCATTTAAAAAAAAAATTAAAAGGGAGATTCAGGCAGTGCAAGGATGGCAGAATCCATGCCTATAGGTTCTTCTGCATAAACAAAAATAGTTTTGCATATATTTTAAAAACTGAGGTTATGTGGGAAAAGGATGCTTAAATATATAATTGAAAATCCCATGTTTGATTCTAATTTGGTAACATCATTAATATGTGGCATTTCCTCTTGTTTTGTAGTCAACTGTCATCAGCATCTTTTTAATTATTAATCATTACATGATTATTCTATTTATTGTCAATTTTGTTTGCTTCTGCAGCAGATGCCCAAGACATTGTCTCACTCTACTTTTCCACTGGGCAATCTTCATTCACTTAGTATTTTTAACTTCCATAATATTTAGTTACCAAAAACCTTAGAAGACTCTTCCGGTATACTGTAACTTCCTTTGCTATAGTAAGTCATAAAGAGGGAAAGATGATGTAACCAGAGGTCGTTTCCTTCAACATTGACATGACTCCCTTACACATTCTGTAGCAACTATTCCACACACCTATTCTTGCAGTTGCCCCAGACTCTCTTTTGCTTGAAGCAAAGCAGTAGACAATCTGGCACAAAGCTGAACTGATGAGCAAGAGAGGCAGAACCAGTCCAACACACCGCAAGAAGGCTACAAATGCTTGGACTCCTATTTGGGGGAGTATTGTTGCCCGGTGGAAATTCTGCTAATTTACAGCCAGGTTATTTCTGATATAGGCCAGATGAGAAGGGGTAACTTCTGTTGTTCTTTGCTAGGCCCAGCCTCTTCACAGTTGCAGCGGTTTTCAATTACTGGATCTTTATAATGCGTCCTATATTAGTTGGGGTAGCCAGGAAGCTGCCTGCAGCTCACCAGCATATCTAGAACTCTCCTTTAATGTATAAGTCCCAGAAAATTGCTGTTTGAGGGCTGGATGGTGGTAGTTAAGGGGAAAAAATAAAAGTTACGGCTTCATTTCACTCTACTGGAGCTCTAAATATAGTTCTCCTCTAAAAAAAAATTGGAATCCTGGCCTTGTTAGCTTTTGGAATGCACTGCTCTGGATGCTGTAGAAACTTGTTATGGCCCTCTAGGTTAAAGTAGATTTTAAGCCACTAGCAAGCAACCTCTCTTACTGCTACTTGGTTTTTCGTCTTCTATTTCTCATGGAAAGTGCCTTTGCTTTTCTTAGCAGAGCAGTACAGTACTATGGGGTAGGTAGGCTAATTTGGGGCTCTGTTGTCTTTCAATATGACATATTTTGCCTTTTATGTATTTTGAAGCAACGAATGTTATCAAGACAAGAAGAGTTAAAAGAACGTGCAAGAGTCCTGCTGGAACAAGCAAGAAAAGATGCCGCTTTAAAGGCAGGAAACAGACAGTTCTCCAGTTCAATCGTCCCAGGCCGCTCTAAGCAACTGACTGATGTAAGAAATGTTCATTATTGTGACCTATACAGAAGTGTATTTCCTTTTATCTGTGTGTCTGGATATGGGAATGTGTTTTTGGTTAGCGACACTGTTGCTGGCTGTAACACACCAGAACAGCAAAATATGGAAAAGCAGCAGAGAATTATTTATGGGTGATTCTAGCTATTCTACGAATGCTGAGCATTGTGCTTCTCCTACCAAGAGCCGATTATTTCCCTACTGACTAAGGCCAAGGAAAGATCGCAAGTCCGTTGAAAGCTGTGCTCTTTGAGTGCCAGCCGATTTAAGATACTGGACAGATGAAAGGCAAAGTTATCTGCCATGCTGCAGCATTTCACCCAATACTGTTTGTCCCAGTGACCCTCCTTTTATCATTAGAATGAATTATTCTGATGGCTAAGCAAACGTGGGTCCAATGGGGAGGCAGCTGCAGTTGCCTATTGCTCCACCAGTAACCTCAGTGGTGACCTGAAGAGGTCTGTAATCTCTGGAGATGAAAGCTAATTAAATTTTTATGCAATCCTTCCCAAAGCAGAGATTGCCTATTGTGTCATATCATGTGCTGTAATTTTGCAATTCTTAACACTTGCACATGAGAAATTGTGTGAGTGCTGCAGCAGTTATTTTGCTAATGACTACCATTTGGCCAAAATCTTCTTTCAAAAAATAGTTGAGTTGTGTTTGCTGGGGTAAATCGCCTTGCCCCAATCCTACCTGTCTTGTCTTGTCTTGTCTTGACTAGCATTTATCTGAGGATAAACTGTTAGGAGCTTTTTAATTACTGGCTTCATACTAATAATTTTTATCTATGAAAAATAATTTCCCTTCTACGCAACTGAGCCATAATTTAGGAGCATCTATCTTTTGTTAATTCTGTTAGAATGGCAGGTGATTAGGATAGTTTATATTATTGTTTTGTTAACAGTCTTTAACAGTCAAGACTTTATATACATACAACGAAGTATTTCTGGAGTCCAAAACACTTGCAGAATAATGTCCTAATATAGTCAGTGTAGCATATAACTCTTATGAAATTCAGTCTTTATCATTTAATTATTAACCTTCACAATGGACAGTCTTTCTGCAGTACTCCTTATCTTAACAATTATCCAATGTCTCCCCCACACACACGCACACACACACTATACACTCTCTGTGGTCCTTAATTGTGCCCCTACCCATCTTTGCCATAAACCATGTCTCTTGGGAGGGAATACATATTTGCCCATTTTTGTTCATAGTGCTGTAATGTATTTATTATTGTTCTGTTAGTAGCTGAGGGGAAGAGCAGTTGTATCATTATTTAAGAATAATATTTTCTAGTAGGCTCGGGATACACTTACTCTAATTTACCTTAACAGTGAAAAATTAATTTCCCATTTATTTCTTTTCAGAGATGTTCATTTGCTATTTCATGAAAAGAAATAACATGTTACAAAGTTTAGTATCTGTCTCTTTTTTTGTGATGGGGTGTGGGTAGAGAAGAGCATGATCATTTAGTGAGAAAAAAAATGACAAGTGACCACAGAGGCACTTAGAAGTCTGTGGAAAAATAGGAAGGAGGAAGAGTTGGAAGCATCTTTGAACAACTTTGGTTGATTTGTCTAGTCCTGCCAAAAGACAGACTAACTCAAGAAACTTCTTCACTTGGGGTACTCTGTCTTTAGTCTAATTCAGAACATGGGAAATGAATTTTGTGCTAACCGGCATTAAATGGACAGTACAGAAGTGTTAATTTTGTTCTATGTTTGCATCCAACATAGGAGTATCCTTATGAATCTGCCTATTTGCTAAGATTATGAGTTGTCCTTTTTAGCCCATAATCCTGGTCTTATATGAGAGGCACTATTCTGAGTAACCTCGCCTTGTAAAATACCTTACAAAAATGAGAAGTGATTCAAAAGTGGTTTTACTTACTTTAGTTGGCCATTTTCTGGAATTATAATGCATGCTATTTTTTTACTACATAAATTATTTTTATTGTTTATCCTTTGGCTTCTATACATTTAGCCAGTGGTTAGAACTGATGTATTAGTTTTATGATGTGCTATAGATTTTGTAAGGTACCTGGAGGCTTTAAAAGTAAAACGCCTTTAGTAAGTGAATGAGAACGTCGCATTCAAATTAATTAATGCATTCATATCAGTAGCTCACTTCTTCTTAATTTCTCCTGGAGAGGGTGTAGGGTGCATATTCTTGAGGGCTTTGGTCCGACTACTCTCCAGGAAATACTAAACGAACAATTCCTTTGGCTGTGCCATTCAGCCAAGTTAGATTTAATCATTTTTAGTCATCCACTTATTTCCTTTTCTGTTCAGCTCTTTTTATCTCTTTAAACATTTCACACATGTGCAATCATCATAATAGTTCAGTGTTTTGCAAGGAGTGATTACCTAACCAGGAATGATGTAATTGAACAAATTTATAAAAAAAATAAAATCTGCTTTGTTCTGTTGCTGTCACAATTTCAGCGGCCTTTCTTTATTCAAAGATAGGCAATGCCTAATTGGTTTCAAAATTATTCCAAGTATTTGGTTCTCCTACATAAGCCTGGATCTGCATTTATAAAATCACTAGAAATGATATTTGCTTACCTGTCTGAGATAAGCTAAAGGCAATTAAAACATCTTAAAATGGCTGATACTAGTAGTGAAGATGTAGCATAGCATAACCAAGAGTGCGTGCTTGTCAAAGTTAATTTCCTTCTTTGTAAAATCAAAAACTCTTTGATGCTGTGAGAATTGCATATGTCTGCTGTTAATGCTGGGTTAGAGAAAAACCTGTCTTCAGGTGTGTGTGTGTGTGTGTGTGTGTGTGTGTGTGTGTGTGTGTGTGGAGAAGGGGTTTTTGTGATGCTTGGACAAACCCCGTTCTCTAAAGAAATGTGCTTCATTTTCATATTTTGTCTCTTTCTGTTCCTTTTCTTTTTGTGGTCAAATTAGAAGAAAGAAAACAATTTTCTTCTGTATGTGCATGATTGTATAATTTACCTGCATTCCATTATTGTATCAGATACTGTCCATTCTACTGCTCTTTAGCACCAAGTCCTTTGCAAAGTATTAGACGATTGGGTAGATCCTATGGTATTATTAGAAATTTTATTTTAAGTGTTATTTGGTTATGAGCTAGTTAGCTTTCATTGTTATCAACTATTGTGATACTTTATCATTCTAGAATTTCAGTGCAAAGTATAAAAGTCAGACAAAAGTAGATGCGAAAAACATCCACATGCATACTTACTGTTGTGATTAGATGAAAAATGGACATGTGGGAGATTAGCGAGGCTGAGCTGAACAGCACAATTTTTTCGAAGCATGACTCAATCCTGTCCTTGAATCACCATTTTGGGCAGATGGGATAGGCTGTTTTCTTCATAAGAATAACCTAAACCATAGTGTAAATCAGTGGTGAAATCCAAATTTTTTTACTACCAGTTCTATGGATGTGGCTTGGTGGGCGTGGCTTGGTGGGCGTGGCAGGAGAAGGATACTGCAAAATCCCCATTCCCTCCCCACTCTGGTGCCAGCCAAAGGTGGTATTTGCCGGTTCTCCGAACTACTCAAAATATCCACTACCAGTTCTCCAAACTGCTTAAAATTTCCACTACCAGAACCTGTTAGAACCTGCTGGATTTCACCCCTGGTGTAAATGTATGTTGTTGTTCCATACGTTAAAAAAAAAACCCCCAGAAAAGCAACATCTGAACTCGGTCTATTGGGACATTTATTTTATGAATCACCTTGCATTATTTCTCCCAAATCAGCAAACGATGTTGCAAAGGGACGTTTAGTGGCAATTGCCTGATCGTTTTACTACATCAGCATTAATACAAAATAAAATAGTACTTTTTACCTTTCTAGTGCCAAGGAACCTCTAAGATAAATATTTTTCTTTGAAGAAATACTAGTCTATTGGGTTCAGACCCTACACAAACCCTACTGCCTAGGAACCAACCAACTTGTGAGGCTTAAGACAGCTTAGATCCTTCTTGAAAAATTGGCAATTGTATGTAATTTGTGCTGTTTAAAAATATTTTTAGCTTAATTGTAGAGATTGTGGCATTGTTATGATAGTCCACGGCAGCAGGAAGCACAAAATGATGAAAGCAGCATCACAGTTTCTCAACATAGTCCCTGCTTATTTATGTGTGCAAAAGAGGTAGAACCGGCAGCATTATAGCACAGCTGTGCTCTCACCATTTTGGCAGAAGAAGCCTGCAGATGCTAATGAGCCACAGGGACTCTACAATGCTCTGGAACATAGCCCAAATTCTTGCCAATTGCGTATTGGAAGGTATAAGCAAACTTCTCTTCTCATAGAACTCAGTAAAGCGTCTTCACATTCTACAGAATCGCAAAGCTTCCAGAAACATTCTCACAAAACTTTAGTGGAACAAACACATATGTAGAAGGGGCAGTGGTTGTATTTTGAAATGTAAGAAGGATGCTTGTTTCCTCAGTGTCAGTGCACCATTTAAGGCAAAGTATTTCCATATTGAGCAAGTGTATTATCAGGTTGCTTGTTTTTGGTTTGTTCAAGTTTTGCCCCAAAGCCATTATCACTATTATACAAACAAAATATAATTACCGGTATATTAGGGGAATGAATTTTATCACTATGAATTTTACAGCAGAAAAAATATAAAGAGGTCAATATTTTCCATTGTATAAAAGTCATTTGGGCTTCATTAGAAGAAGTGTTAAAATTGTCTGAGCCAGAAAAAAGTGATAGATCTTAATGAACTTACACCAATAGTGGTTTTGATATTTCTAAATTTAAGCAAAAAACAGAATAAAACTTTTTATTTTACTTTGCTGTAGGTTTTTTATAGAAGTTATAGAAGATATTTAATAGAAGATAATTCTCCTTATCTAGAAAGCAAAATTACTCTTTTTAAAAAACTTTAAAAAAGCACTGCCAGTTCCTAAATTACTAGGACTTAGATTATCAATAATTTTTTTTCTAAGAAATTAGAAAAGTAAGAGAATAAGCTGGCT